CACAACATCTCTCCCTACAAGTATACTGTTTTAACAGAAAACGGTGTTAATTCATGCTTAATAGTTGTAAAATTAGTATATTTAAATCCATTTTTACTGAACTCAAAAAAAAAAAAAAATTTATTGTATTTTCCTTCCTTTACTTACAAATAATATACACTATTCCCACTTGCATTTTTTTTATATGGCAATCATTACTTTAAACAAATTATGCCTTGATTTTGTATGTGCTTTTGTAAATTTACTCAATATTTCCTGTTTAATTTGTCTGTTCATTTTCATTGTTATTTCGTTTACTTTGGTTTAGCAGTTTGACATGTCTTTTTTTACTCTCTTCATAATAGAATATTGCTAACCATTATGCTCTATTTTTGGTTCATTAAAATGAATTGTAATTCCATAGTCTTTCATATGGAATGACTATTTATTTAAAATTGTGAAAGGCAATTCTATTTATAATTCCATAGTCTTTCATATGGAATGACTATTTATTTAAAATTGTGAAAGGTAATTCTATTTATAATGCATTTGTTATTATTTTTTTAATTTAATTAAACAAATGAATGAATATTTTGATGGAATGATAATTTCATTCCACTTTAATCATTCCAATGAATGAAACACTATCTAAGGAGTTGGCTTGGTAGTCAAGGCCGGGGAAATGAGGATGTGCTCTCTCTATGTTCTTAAGTTCAAAATCTCCTTGCCCAAACAATTTTTTGGGTCAGTCCATACTTTGGTTGGACCATTTGTTTGTAAACAGTGAGAAGTTATCAAAAATAAATAAATAATAATTCTCTCTCACACTCTTATTAAAATAAATTTAAGAAATTGATTTACAAAAATAAATTTTACATAAATAATTTAATTAAAATAATATGACAATGACATTTTAAAATAATAAGTTACTTTGATAAGACTATCTAATTTAAAATGAATTTTCCTATATAATGAATTTATCACCTCATTGGTATAATTTTCTCCATAAAAAATCCAATGGTTAGCCATCAATCCAGTCAAATTGGAGCAATGCAAGAGATTAGTTTTTAATTCATTAATTCTTAAATAAATTACTTCATTGGAAATAAATTTAATTATTATAATTTTAAGGGTTTTTTTTTGGGTCAATATATAAGAGAGTTATTTACAACCAATCTATCAAGCCCAACTTCTCTATCGAAATTGAACCAGTAACGTTTATACAACTATTAGATTAAATATCCTAATTTAACTCTTCTTGGGGAGAGATCAATTTACAAAGGGTGAGAAGGCTAACTTCTAAAAATGCTAATCTAACAACTAATAACTGATTCTAGCAGATCAAAAAAAAAGAAAAGAAATTCGTCATTTTGCTTCAAAATTGCCAATTTGAGTCAAATTAATATAATTTCAAAACGGGTGTTTAAATCGTTAAGAAAAAATAATTATAAATTTTACTATGGTCCTAAAAATGTATATTTTGTGTCATATTGGTCTCTCAAGTATGAATTTTATCAATTTCGTCCTTTAATATTGTGTGGTTATGTTTTATTTTCTTCATTAATGTTTCATGACCAAATTGACAAAATTAAAAATTCAAGGACCAAAGTGATATGAGTGACAAGAAACATATACTTTAAAGAACATGTGTGTATTTTATTACCATTCCGTTAGCTATTTAGAAGGTACGCTTAGAATTGGAACAAATTGACTCAAATTGAAATTTCAATAATGAAATTGACAAAATTAAAACTTGAAGAATCAAAATGACAATAAATGCATACTTTAAGGACTATTAATATATTTTGTTCAAAAATAAAATATGTGAACCTTATGTGTATAGATATAGTACAATTTTAATTTCATTAATTGCCTTAAATAATTATAGCATGATTGTTGTGATTTTTGATCACTGACTATGCTTTTTTATTATTTTCCAGATCATCCCATGGACGTACATGCTATTGTATTATTTCTCTGTGTATGCTCTCACCTTGTGGGACACAATGGAATTGAAGGAGACTGGAGGAGTTTAACTAAAGAAGAAGATTTGGAGTTGGAGGAGCGACTTAAGCATCTCAACAAGCCAGCAGTCAAGACTATACAAGTATTTATTCTCAACTATTATTAGAAACATTTAGACTGCGTTTGGATCACGAATTTAGATAGAGAAATGGAATAGTTAGGTAAAGAATAATTATATTTGATTCATTTTTCCCTCATGTTTTCTATTTCCCTTTTCAAATTCATATATAAATCTAAAATCCAAACACAGTCTTAGTTCAATTTTGCTATGTTTGTTTCATGGGAGTAAATTATATTTGATTAATAACCATAATGGGAGAATATTTTGGTGTTTTTACTAATGCAGACCCTTCTTAATCTCTCATTTGGCATCTCATCACCTTATAGAGCTCAATAATCAATCATATCCCACACTTAATGTCTTATTTTGTATCTACCTCTTATGGAACTTAATAATCACCATATAAAGGATAAATCGGAACATAAAGTTGTTGACACGTATCTATCAACAAACTATTGTCTCAAATATAATAAAATAAAATTTAAGTTGAGCTGGTTTCCTAGGATGTCTTGGGACTAGTTTCGAGAACATTCAATTCCAATATTGTCCAATTAAATTTTTTATGAAAGTCAAATGGCAAAGATTAATAGGCATCTTAGGCCTAATATCATGGCTGTCTTGAATTACAACCATCTAATTTGATGTTCTGAACTTGAGAATACAGAATATGGTATTATTATTTTTGGACAAAATTGTGAACAACCTTTCATGAATTGAACAATTGTATATAAAAATTAATGGAAATATTATAACATTTACAGAATAATTATGGAGATATCTATGATTGCGTGGATTTCTACAAGCAACCTGCATTTGATCATCCTTTACTGAAGAACCACACTTTTCATTTTCAGGTTTGTCTCCATACATCATCTTATCTCCAACACATGATTGAAGGCTACTTAATTATTTATTCAACACTCTATAAGCACAAAATAAATCACAGAACACTCTAGTTCGCACAAGAGGTGCTGGGATTATTGCACATCCTAAATTCAAATGGAACCACATCCATATGCACACACTAAAGATTAAAAATCACAAAGATTTGCATACAAAAGAGAAATATACTATGAATCATAGCGTGTACAACAATAAAACCAAAAACCTTTAAAATCTGACACCAATACCGAAGTCTTGAAACTCTACCCATTTCCCTACTTAAGATTAACTGATTCTGGAAGCTACACGTGCTTACTTACTCACTATCATTGTCCCCGGAATTTTTTCATATCGCCTACATCTTTACAAACCCTCTCAATCTCACACCTCTACAATACTTCTTTTTATTGGCGAAGGGAATAATTGTATTGATCAAATCCAATAGAAAAAATATAATTTTGGGACAAGCATCAATAAAAGAGAGGAGAGTGTAGAGAAGATTCATATTTATAGGCAAACCATAGAAATGTTAGTCCCATACAATTAATAAAACCCTACACTGAATTACTAGTGAACTCTTGATTTCACAACCTAACACAAAATACAATATGGATCTTACAAAATTTGATACACGCACCCAACACTAATAACTCTATGAGGCTCATAGAAAACAAGACATGCACGTACCCAACAGTAGAATCCAACTCTTGTGAGTTTTCTATAATCCATTATGTGATCAATTTATGTGCAATTCTCCTTTACCTTTTTCGAATTGAGTTGAATTGCAGATGAAGCCCACTTCATTACCTAAGAGATCAAGAGATCAAGTTTCCTCAAATGTTAGCAAACCTCTACATATAGGACTAAAGGGTGGGGGTTGCCCGGTTGGAACAATTCCAATTAGAAGAACTACTAAAGAAGATCTCATTAGAGAGAAACTTGCTTCAAAAATAATGACTCCTGCAGATGACACCGGTGGTGCTGATGTAAGTTATCCTAGTCAATCAAGATTACATAGCTTCACAATATTAGTTTTGCACTATTGCTTGTTTTCTATATTTGGTTTTATTTGTTTCTATGAATCACCTTCTTGAATGAGCTGAACACACACATAAAACACTCTAACCACATTTTTTTATTCTATAAATTGATTCTAGTCCTCATTTTTTGAAGCTATATGTTTAGTCTCATCTTGTTGAAAGTTTTAGGCAAACTTTTGATAATAATTTTACTTGCAGATGTGATTGTTTACATGGCTTGAATCTACACAACCAAAAACACTAAACATTAAATCTTAAAGTTAGGGCACGATGCCTTTTTTGAATGAAAAGAGGGCAAAAAAATCAACAAAAAAAAGTATGAGCGTTTGGTTTACTTTTCAAAACTCAACTCTGTTTTTAAATCATGATTTGAATGCAACTTGTTAACCAATTATATTTTAAAAATACAACTCAAAATTACTTTCAAAACTCCTCGCTTTTCTTTTCTTTTCTTTTATTATTAATCAATCAATTTTTCTTTCTCATCTCTCCTCTCATCTCTCATCTCACCTCGCACATTTTCTCACACTTTTTACATCAATCAATCAAAAAAAAATTACAAATCATCTCAAAACTATTTTTTAAACTCATAACTAAATAAAAAAAATTTCTTTTCAAATAATGATTTTTTTTTTTTTTTTATTAGCAAATTGCTCTTGCCTTGTTCTGTGATTTTTAGATTTATTATTTTCAGATTATATATATGTATATATATTGTGCTCTATTCAAATTGTTTCCTAATAGATTCACACAAAGAGGGAGAAATTACTTCTGCTATTTTGTGCTAGATTCGGGTATTTTGAATTGGCCTTTGGTTTTCTCCCAACTATGGATATGTTCAGATTCTAACAGTAAGGGGAAATATAAAAGTAACACATATGTTTTGGACTTTTATTACCCAGTATGCCATAGTTGAGACAATAGATGGTCCAAACAAATACAGTGGAGCGTCAGCGGTGCTTAGTGTATACCAACCAGATGTCGTGGGTAAACAATATAGTGCAGGGCGAATGATGATTCAAAATGGGCCTGATAGCTTACAAGTCGGGTGGAGGGTAAGTTGATCTTCTTGCTTCTTGTAAATTTAACTTCTTACCTATTTTACAAACAATTTTCACAAGTAAAAACTAGCTTCACATAGACAAAAGCATTTGTTGTTATTATGTTTTTGGTTTGTCTCAGGTGGATCCATCTCTGTTTGGTGACGCACGTGCTCGACTATTCATATATACGAATGTAAGTATCATTGCTTTTTATTGCATATTACTTGATTGACTATATTTTCTTGGTAGCTCTTACAATAAATTCGTATATGTTTGTCGACCAAACAGGCAGGTCAATCTCATTGTTTCAATACAAATTGTCCTGGATTTGTGATTGTGGACACAAAAATACCTCTTGGTCAAGTAATTGAAAAGGTCTCTATACGTGGAGGGACATCGGTTGCGATGGAAATCTACATCTTGCAGGTAAAACTTGAAAACTCAAACAAGTTGCCAAGTCATGCTACCATTGTGTCAAATAATTATTACATCAATAATTATGAAACAAAAATCATAATTAAGTAATTAGTGGTAAAGAAACAGAATTTGCGTTCTTCTGTTCAATTATTCAATTTTGATATCCATGTAAAAATATATAGGATCTAGCTAATGGAAACTGGTGGCTTGGAGTTGCAAATACCAATCTTGGATTTTGGCCAAAGAGAATACTTGGTGGCGGATTAGCAAACTTAGCTTCACATGCTGAATGGGGAGGAGAGGCATTTAGTCCACCGGGCACCCCGAAACCTGCAATGGGGGGAGGTCATTTTCTAATTGAGGACACCAGATATGATGCATACTTCAGGAATATTGCACTTAAGAGTCCAAGTGGAGGGGATATAAATCCTCAAACATACGAGTTTACAAACAGTAGAAAACTGTATGAAGTGAAAGATGAAGGATACCAGGGGGCTCTTTTTGGGCATCTGGTACTATATGGGGGCCCTGGAGGTTCCTAGAAGGAGAACACAAATTTGGTACTTTTAAAATTTCATTTTGGCATGAATTAATAATGTAAAATTGACCACCCCTTGTCCATATATATATATATAATTGCATGTGCTTTGCAAAATTTTTATTAAGACTCAAGTGCTATTGTTTATGCTTGGGGTGATGCACAATCCAACCCTTTTAGCTTTGCAAATTTTAATCTTCTTGATTGCAATGTCATCGATTAAAAAAATTGGATTATTCAACAGCACTTGCTTTGAACATTTACGGGTGCTAAGCCAATGTAATTGGAATTACCCACAATTATTTATTTATTTATTTATTTATTAGTACCCACACAAAGATTGTTTGAATATGATTACAAAAATTTGCTTACATAGATTAAGATCTTAGCAAATCATTATAAGAACTCAAATGACAAAAATAAAATAAAATAATTTGATTTTGTTATTTCATGGCTTAGCAAGACTCAATATACAACAAAGGGGAAAAATTTTAAAAAAAATAAAAAAAATAAAAAAAAATAAAGCCATTAATCAATCCAAATTAATCTAAATACAACAAAATATCACTTAAATATTACTTTTCTTACATTTTTAACAACAAAATTACTAACTAAGCTTATATAATCAAATTTATCTATCATATCATTTTCAACGAATAATTTAGTTAACTGCAATATAGATTTGTTCAATTAATAATTAAACATCAATCTCTTTTTTCTATTGCTTGGTAACTAGTTGAATTATTTTTTGAGGGGCCTTTGACTGTGGTTTGGGCTTTCCATTACGTGGAAACTTAAAATTAGAGCAATTAATAATTGTGAAAATTATAATTCAGTGCGATAATTATAAAATAATTACAATATAGATTGATTTTTATTTTTATTTTTATTGTGTAGCAACACAATAAATAAAAATATAAAAAAAAAATTCATTACAACAACAAAATTTTGGAGATAAACCTAAGTATGACGGATGCAATCATCAACAAAAGACACATAGTATGCGGAACCCCCTTTAGTGAGAACAGGAAAGAGTTCCCAGACATCAGTATGCACAAGAGAAAATGGAGAAACAGAAATTGAAGTACTTTTATTAAAAGGTAAAGCTGACATTTTGGCAAGTTTACACTCCCGACATTTATCTATTTGACTAGGAAAAATTTTACCCGATAATCCTGACTGAGCTAAAGACCGTAAGCGGTCAACAGACAAACGACCTAGGCGAGATTGCCATAAGTAAAACTGACTCGACTAAGAATCTAACTAAAATGAGGAAAAAAATAACTGGAGAGGTAGATAGAGGGAAATGCAAGCTTTCTACCACATAGAGATCTCCAACTCTACGGCCGGTCCTAATCTGCTTCTTGGACATCTAATCCTGCACACAACAGACAGAAGAGGGAAAGATAACGTCAAAACTAGAAATATCAAGTTAACTGATAGATGATAAACTGACAGATAGCTGAGAAACATAAAGAACAGAGGGAATATTGACAACAGACATAGCAGAGGGTAAGACAGACCCAACAGATAGAACAGGTATACCAGACTCATTAACAGTATTAACAGTAATAGGAGGGGGGGGGATACAGTTTTGAAGTAAGGAAATGTGAGGAGTCATATGATGAGAGGCACCAAAGTCAAAAAGCTAGACAGAAGAAGAGATACCTAAAGAGGACTCAAACAAACCTGAATGAAGAGAGATGAGAGCAGAGACAGATAGGGATGGCCGGAAGGTGGACAGGAGATGCTGAAGCTGAGCCATTTGAGGACGCAAGGAAGCCAAGTCAGGATCAGAAACTGGAGCAGATGCAATATAAGTAGTTGGAGGTTGAAACTGTGTCTGAGGCGGCTAAGAAGACTGAGCAAATTGACGTCCCTTCTTGGGACAATTATACTTCCAATGGCCCTTCTGATGGCAAAATGCACACTCATTAGAGGCTAGTGGCCCATTTTTGGGCTTCGTAGTGACCTGAAGCTAATAATATGGTGGGGTCGACAATAGAGGAGGCTGAGTAAATGCCAAGAAGACAGATGGAAACAGAGTCTGATTGGCTATCTTAAGACAGGTTTCCTCGAAGAGGAGTTCACGAACAATAGCATCCATAAAAAGGAGAGGAGACCGATGAAAGATGACACCACGGATAGCCTCATACTGAGGGAAGAGAGTCGTTAAGAACTATACTAACAAGTGGGCCAAACTGTAAATAAGATTTTTTTAATCAAATATCAATACTGAAAGAGTCAAAGTCATGAACACAGAGAGAGAACTAGTCAGAGAACCAAGTGGATAAAACTAGAAGAAGTTGTGTAGCATAACCAGAGCCAAAGAGAGGTGTCATGATTCCCGAACCAAAGAGAGACACCTCTTACGAGTGTAGAACAGTGACAAAATCAGAGGATGTTAAGGTTGATCACGTTGCGATTTTAGTAGCAATGAGGGGCGTGAGTCGGGAAAGAGAAGACGAGTATGATCATGACTCCGGAGAGAGAGAAGGGTCGCGACCACGGCTGCGATTTCAGAGGGAGGTCGTCTGATGCCTATGAACCATAGATTGATGATTCGAACTTAGATGAGGACTAGGGTTACGAATGCGGCTCTGATGCCGTGTAAAAAATTCTGAATGTTTTGTATATTCAACTTATCAGTAATACAAAGATTACGACCAATATTTATAGCAATCCTAAACCTAATCTATAATAGGAAATAACCCTATACAATTGATTGAATATTCATAATCAACCTAATTGATATATTTCCATAATTACGTAATATTCTCACATCTCCTTCAAAGGTTAGGTTAACTTTGGCTTTGACAGACCAGAAGTCTTCCTTAATCTTAAGAAGGTTGTTGTAATTGGCAATGAGAGCTTTTTTGAGGTTGAGAAGGAAGGTGTTAGAGGCAAAGCTAAAGGAAGTTTGAGTACCTAGAAGCCTAGCCACAAGTCTTTTCTTTTTGTGGAAGATGTTACCGAAGTTGGTTTTGTTCCATATGCTAACTCTAGTCTTGAAGTCAACTACACTCTCAATGAAAAGGTTATTGGGGGGAGACCAACTATCATTAACAACCTAGTAAAGGGATGGGTCGGAAAACTAGATGCTCTCAAAATGAAAAGGTTTAGAGGATGAAGGTAGACAAGAGAGGGTGTTCAGGAGAATAGGGCAATGGTTAGAATATACACAGAGATTTGTCTTTATGTTTATCTCTCTACTTTTCGTTTATTTGTTATGATATGATAGTTATTTATTTATTTATTATTTTAAACTTCATGTAGTGTACACTTAATTTTTCCTTCGCCCTCTTTATTTATTTGTTATTATTGTTATTAGGGTTTGCGATTTGGGAATTTAACTGTCCAAGATATTTCCTATCCCTGATGATGTGTAGCTAGATGTTTTTTTAGTGGTTTGAAAGTATGACATAAAGATATATAAGTTTTTGTTTTGTTGGCTGCTTTTTTAAAAATTTAGTAATTCATAACAATATGTAATTGTACAAACCAATTTCATACAAAATTTTAAAAATTTATTCTATATGCTTTTTTTGGGTACATTAAAGTTTTAACGAGTACAATCCACTTGCCCCATATTGGGTTGTGGTCTAGGGTTCAAACCCCGAGAGACACCCCTCTCCCCTTAGAAAATGTTTATCTATGTTTTTTTTGTAAGTTTCAACAAATTACTAATTTCACACACACAAAAAAATGACACATAATTTGTCATTGGATAAACTATTATAAATTAAATCGTTTCATGGTGACCAAAAGCAAAAAACATCAAAGTATAAATACTAATTTTTGTAAAAATCGTTAAGAGCCTCTCTTTTTCTAACAAAGACATAAATAAGCATGCATAGATTTTTGACTATTTCTTTAATTTAAAAAACTCTTATAATTAGGAATACTATTCAATTTTTCATGTTGTCATTCGGGTCAAACGACCCCTAACCCCACTGAGATATGCATGTAACTCCACGCATTTGTATTTGCTTGCTTTGAGATAGTCATTTTGAGCTTTTGTTTACTTGCTTTTTGTTAGGTATACCTCCTTATTGGAGTATGGGATCCAATTCGTTTGTTAAAAGAATTTGTATTTGGTTTGGTTTAGATATAATATATTTTATATATTATATCTAACTTTGGGAAGCCTAATAAGTATTTTCAATTTGGTAATAGTTAGGGTTTTGATAAAAAGCCCTAGATTCTCAATATATATATATATTGATATTGTTATTTGTTCTCCCGAAGAGACAGAGGGACTGCTATCAATATTGATTCGTCTTTGGTGACCACGCTGGGCAAATTCAATTGTTGACAATTGGTCAATGCTTTGGCTGATTTGTTGATGTTGTTGCCTATGATTCAAAAGTGGATTTGGGTTATTATTTTAGGTCTTTTACAACTCTGTGTTGAAGATTTTTGTTCATCTATTTGGTGAGATTTTTTCCTCTTGTTTATTTGTGATTATTTGGAATTCACCTAAGGGTGATTTTGTGAGACCATATGTATCTCGTTTGTAGTCGTTTGGAAACTCTTTGGTTGACAGTGGAATCGAATTTCGAATCCCGTGGACGTACCTCACATTGAGGGAACCACGCAAAAATTCTTGTGTTACTTTTGATTTAATTTTTCCGCATTAATTTTATTCTCATTGATTGATTTACTTGTGGGGAATCACATATTTTCCCTAACAACTGGTATCAGAGCTTACGGTCTATTTGAGTTTATTTATTTGTGTAAATCAATGGAGGGGAATGTGGGTCATATGTCTAGCTTCAATGGAAGTAATTGGGTAACTTGGAAAACTAAAATGGAGGACCTATTATTTTGTAAAGATTTGTATGGACCCATTGAGGGTGATAGTGGCAAACCCGAGGGTATGAAAGATGATGAATGGAATAGGCTTAAACAAAAAGTCGTTGCTGTTATCTGTCAATGGATTGATGACAGTGTGTTTCATCATGTTGCTACTGAAACTTCAGTACATGATTTATGGAAAAAATT